ATTCCTCTCTTAACGAATTTGACATAATCGTTGTCTGCATGACGTCACACTTGTGCAACTTGTTTACGTTTTCCTTGCAACATTTTTTCTTCTTCTTCCATTCTTGTTCACGTTTTGGCATTTCTCTCTCGCAATTGCGCCAGTGTGAAAAATCCTATCTGATCGGCGCAATCTTGTATTCTATCATTCTTGACTGTGGCCTGGTACCAACATAATTTTAATATTCCGACGAAATTAAAGAAAGCTGAGGCACTCTGACATCAATTTTGAGCGCGCTCTTAATGAGCTCAGGACCCTGAACAGATACCTCCTTTATTAACGTCGCACCATTAGGTAGAGTGCCTACTGCTTCTGCATTGCCAGATGTCTGAAAGACTGTAATTACTTGCCGGGTTGCCACCAAATAAAGGCCCAAATAGTTTCGCCGTATCACAGCCATAACCACGGCAATCATCTGTTCTGATCTGGCGTAGAGGCAGATTTGTAAACCATTATTAATACCACATCATAAGGTCTTAGCCATAACCATAACCGTAGGTATTTATTGAGTTTTGTTTTTTGTCACTATAACCATAAGCAGCTCTAAATCATTAGGTAAAGTTACGGCTATAGCGTTATGATTATGGCTAGTGTAATTCGTCCCTAAATTTGGTTTTTGCAAAAATCGTTCAGCAAAAATAAAAGACAGGAGAAAATTAGTAATTAGAACGCAGGAATGCCTTTAAAACACCAAAGTAATGCCAAAAAGATAGAGTCTATAAGCAAATATATACAGATTTAGACGTAGTTATAGACGAAAGATAAAACTTTCGACAACGCGCAATAGTTGGTCGGCAGTGCTTGTTCCTTACATGTGTTAGGCTTAGCTCTTCTTCATAGTTATTTAAAAGACAAGATAATGGGAAGGTCGTTGATATAAAGTTTTATTTCGGTAATATTAGGATAACCTCTGTGTGCTTTACATTGAACTTTTGGCTTAGGACTTGATAGGATATTACCATAAGATACGACAATACTTCTCACTAATATCATGATACGCTCAGTTATTTCATAACGTAATAGTAGAACGAACGGGGAAGCAAGGTGCAAGTACCGATATCGGTGGGTTGTGTCATCGAAAGACTGGGAAATAAACCATAAACTTTTCTACTCAATTTCTAAGCAGATATGCAAGCTATAGCCATATTTGGCTGATCCGTTTTACATGAGATCTATATAAAATGACCTACTCTGGAAAAACGGTGCACGGTATGGGCCTCGGCGTTTTTTTTTGTCATCTTAACGTCCCTACAGTGTCATATAGTACGTACATTTGGGTATAAGATACCGATTGTAAATTGAATTTTTCTGATGTCAGATCTTCTGCTTCCAAGTACGCCTCTTAGTTGGTGACCTAAAAACACTCGCGGAAAACCTTGACACAAACTGGGCGTCTTCTGCTCTCTCGCTCTCACTTCTTTTTGGAAAATAGCGCTACTATTTGCTTTCAAAATTGTACTCACGATTGTTAGATAAATTCAATGATATCCAGTTAAATGTTTACTTCGGTTATATGTAGATATATATACTATGTAGCGCATATATGTTTAATACGGGGTTTGTCTAAGATAAATTTGTTTTTGAAGTTCATGCATTTTTTTTAAAGCGGGACTTAAAATATCTTTCGGCATGCACATTTGAATCTGTGTAAATACTGTTTTACTATTGGAAGCGGTCCGAGATCGGCGCAACCTTTGTATTCTCTCAATCGTGGGCCACAGTGATATTTTGGTAATATGCATGTCAGATGAGTTGGAAAGAAAAGATATCCTCAAAACGATATACCCAGGCAGGGAGAGCCACATACTCTCTATGATTTTACTCTCCAGCAGATGTAGCTCATGCCAGCTTTGAGAACGCTGAGCGAAATCTAGGTTCATTTGGGTACGTTGGGGTGCGGTTATGGGAGCTTTTTGTCATTTAATAGTTACAGCGAGCGGCAAGTCACTCCCCGAACGGGATTCTAGAAGTGATAATAACATTGACGTCCGATCATAACTGCCGACGCGTCGTTGCCTGCATGTTGATAACGTGGAATGAGCGCAATATTTTTACTAGTCAGTTCAGCTTTCGCGACGTTAAGATTCAATACTATTGGCTTATACTTAATATCCTACTCTGAAGAACTCTCGGGGACCGGTAGTAGCTGATTTTGCAATTTTCTGTTTCGTTCGCTGCGCATAAACATAAAAGCAGTGGTTATTGCCATGAGTACTAATCAATGCATCCTAATAATATGTATGTATATAAATAATCAAATCTAGAAACAAAACTTTTTGAATCATATAATCCATTAAGTTTTTATCGTTTAAATATTTTTGCATGTCATTTTTTGTGTTCAAATAATAATCATACAAAATTTTAAATATCATACATATATATTGAGAAATATACATAGAAATTTAACCTTTGCTGGGGTAAGTACCTTTTGTATGTACATGAACATTATTCTCTCGATGTTGTTAAATTTTCTAAATGTGCCAAAAAATATTATAGAATTTACGTAAATATGGTTTTTTGATAATCAACAAAGGATAGTGCTAAAATACTGCTAAAAAGGGATCACAACTGTCAGATACGATTCAACTTGCATAGAAGTCCCACTCGACAACCGACTGCTTCCTCCACTAGGTACTTGCGAATTCTTGATGTTGTTGTTGTTTATCTAAGTATATTATAAAAAAAAAAAATTAAATACTTGATGTTGTTGCTCTATTTGATGTCATTGATGTTGTTGATGTTGAATGTTGTTGATATAAGAAAAATAAATAAAAACGTGATACAATTTTTGAGCGAAAAAAGGAGTATGCATAAAATTANTCAACAAAGGATAGTGCTAAAATACTGCTAAAAAGGGATCACAACTGTCAGATACGATTCAACTTGCATAGAAGTCCCACTCGACAACCGACTGCTTCCTCCACTAGGTACTTGCGAATTCTTGATGTTGTTGTTGTTTATCTAAGTATATTATAAAAAAAAAAAATTAAATACTTGATGTTGTTGCTCTATTTGATGTCATTGATGTTGTTGATGTTGAATGTTGTTGATATAAGAAAAATAAATAAAAACGTGATACAATTTTTGAGCGAAAAAAGGAGTATGCATAAAATTATACTAATTTTGTAAATGTATAAGACTATGTTAAATTAAAAAAAAAAAAAATACAAAATATGGTAATTTTCGATATTCTTGTTGCTGTGATATTTCTGCTCACTTTTCTAAAAAAAATACTAATTTTTTGAGAGCAAGCTATTTTTCAATTTATAACGGTTAACTGTAATTTATCCAATGTATTATACAAAAATATCTATAAATGTGTATGTATGTATGTATGTATTAATACGTGTTTACTTACAATTCTTGATGTTGTTTCTCAATGTTGTATTTGTTGTTGCTGTTACAAAAAAGAAAAAAATTGCAAAGGAATTGATAACCAATGTTGCTGAAATTGTTGTTGTGTGTTACTTTTCATCTACCTCAACTTCGTTGTTGCTCTCTTTATTGTGCCTTACCAGCTTACAAACAAACAATCGAACAAACAAACCAGCTTGCAAACAAACATATTTACTTAGTTCCTTTCTGCGCATTAAACATTTCATTGCAGATAGCCACGACGACGACGACGACAACGGCGACTGCTCTGAGGCCATTGGTTGCAGCCACAGCCAGTGTTGATAATCACTGCAGTAGAAATTACAACAGCCTTAGCATGCCCAACAACAACAGTTTCTACAATAACAACAATCACGGCAGACGCCTTCAGCCGTACGTTTTGGGTATGGCACGCCTGCGACTTGAATTGCAACAGCAGCAGTTGAAGCAACAGCAGCAGCAGCGACTATATAGCCAACAGCTAAATGGCAACATTGCCCTCACGCCGATGTCGCTAAGTGCCACACAATCACAAGCACAAATGTTGCACGTATTGCAGTTGCAGCGAATACGGCAATTTATAAGACAACGGCAACAAGTACAACTGNCTTGATGTTGTTTCTCAATGTTGTATTTGTTGTTGCTGTTACAAAAAAGAAAATAATTGCAAAGGAATTGATAACCAATGTTGCTGAAATTGTTGTTGTGTGTTACTTTTCATCTACCTCAACTTCGTTGTTGCTCTCTTTATTGTGCCTTACCAGCTTACAAACAAACAATCGAACAAACAAACCAGCTTGCAAACAAACATATTTACTTAGTTCCTTTCTGCGCATTAAACATTTCATTGCAGATAGCCACGACGACGACGACGACAACGGCGACTGCTCTGAGGCCATTGGTTGCAGCCACAGCCAGTGTTGGTGTTGATAATCACTGCAGTAGAAATTACAACAGCCTTAGCATGCCCAACAACAACAGTTTCTACAATAACAACAATCACTGCAGACGCCTTCAGCCGTACGTTTTGGGTATGGCACGCCTGCGACTTGAATTGCAACAGCAGCAGTTGAAGCAACAGCAGCAGCAGCGACTATATAGCCAACAGCTAAATGGCAACATTGCCCTCACGCCGATGTCGCTAAGTGCCACACAATCACAAGCACAAATGTTGCACGTATTGCAGTTGCAGCGAATGCGGCAATTTATAAGACAACGGCAACAAGTACAACTGCAGCAACAGCAACAGCAACAGCTAACGCAACAACAAAAATGTGAACAACTCGAGCAAACACAACAACAGCAACAATTTAAACTCAAATATCACCAACATCAAACATTGCAACAACAAAAACAACAGCAACAACAACAGCTTTTGTTGCCCATTAATTTAGTGCCGCGCATTTCGAATTGTTTTAGTAGTAGTAGTATTGGTAAACGCAATGCGGCTGCTGTTGGTGCTGCCACTACCGTCGACGGTGGTGATGGTTGTGGTGGTGGTACTAGCAGCGGCTGCAATGCTTCTGCGGTCGTAAGGAAAACGACAAGAGCCGCAACAACAACAACAACAACAACAACATCTACAGCAAGAAGCATATTGCTAACACCGTCATATTTAAAATCCATTGTTAAGCTTTGCTAACAACCATTGCGCACATCGTTGGCTGCGGCGACGACGACGATATCGGTAGTATCGACAACAAAAGCACTACCGACAAACACCACCAGCGATGTTGCAAATGCGTCAGCAAAAGCGTCAACAAGCGTTGACTTCAACAATGGCGGCAATAGGAGTGTAGCGCCGGGTGTTAGAGATGGCGTGGATTCTGTTGCAGTTAAGGAGGTAAGCCATTGCTTGTAGTACATTGAATAACAAACTAGTACATCTATGTACAGTGAAATTTCTCATAACCGGACACTTACCGTCACAGCGGTGACAAACATTCATGTTATTATTATATCTATATATATATCGATGGCCCTCTGCAATAACGACAAAATTCAAAATTCAAAAAACAAAAACTATTACTACTGACTACCTACTACTAATTCATGCCTAACCCTTTCTAAAGTAAATAGTAAAAGTGATTATTTTGTGTTTTTTATGCAAAAAACACTAAAAATAAGATAATTACCAATGTCTGTT